AAGCCATGGTTCTTCTACTCAGGTCTCAAGCGAGACGATATATTCAGATTCAAGGGATCATTGGAACATAAACTGGGCATTGGTTACAAGCAAATGCCTTATATGGGTAACGTACTACCCACTGACAGTGGCGGGAAATATGAGATGGATAAGAGAAAGTACACAGCTAGTGGAGAGAAAGCTAATGAGGAGTATTACTGGGCCGTAAATTCGAAGGCCTATGCTGAAGCGGTTGAAGGGAGAGTTTACGTCATGCTTCCCAGTAGCCGCAGTGTGAATCAGCCATATCCCGATCAGGGTTCGAATTGGTGGACCTACGAAGTACCAGAACTCACCCGTAACTCTCGAGTGGAGAGTATAACAGTCGTACCTATGAAAGAACAGCCCGATACTTTCGTAACGGACACATTTCAAGGTCAATATGTTACTGGCCCAGAACAAGTTATTTGGAGGAGCGGCGACGAGCCCATCGGTTTTCCAGCAAGTGAGCTATATCACCTCCAGAGACCCGATGAGCCGTGGACGACTCTCCCAGATGTAGAGCTTCCTGAGTCTTAGTCTATACGTGGCGATGACAGCTCGCAGAGAGAGAGAGAGAGAGAGAGAGAGAGAGAGAAGAGAAAGCTGCACTGGAAACCTAGAGCTATGGGAAATTCGACGCAGTAAATTGAAGGGCAGTATGGGTTTCTTATCTCCAATTCGTCGTCGTCGCTCGCTATGACAGTTTTACGTGTCGTGTCGCTCATTTTGTGTTCTCGTATCTACCTAGGCAGCTTAAAAATCAACTGGCGTATTCAGGACCCGAAGATCTAGGATAAAGCTTCAAGCAAAGGTTTTGTGAGTGTGCATAGCTTGAACTGCTCGGTGAGCTGCTGAAAATCGTTTGCAGTCGATCTAGCCGTCTTTGCTCGTGAAATATTGGTCAATGGGTTCAAGCGCGGTGCCGCGTATGAGGGAAACAGAACCACACCAAGTTTAGAGCCGTTCCTTGAAAGCACAGTACTGATCGTGAGATCATACTAAAGGTAGCACGGCGCTGAGAGCTGTCTATACATCGAGTGGTGGAGTAACAACCGTGGTTCGATCGAGGGTACCTTTCCCGAAATCCGCCCTGTGAATAAGCTCTGATCTCCGCAATCAAGGGACTAGCGCCCCAATCATTCCCTTGCCCCCAGCTTCTGCGGTCCAAGTTTCACGTTTAGTGTACTATCTGCAGCTGCATCTAAATACAAGCAATTGTCATTTTGCCACCCCATGGAAGGTCACCTGTTGACGTGGCCGTGTCTGTGCCGCATACCATTCCGTGCCACATTGGCAAAGCTTTTGGCGTCCGCAGCACTTTCCTTGTTATATGTTACCCACCATCTGTCCTGGGTACGGCTACCAGAAAGTTTGTGCTAACATCAGACCTAAAGTTTACTGTTCGATCTCACAAGACAAGCATAACAGACATATCCAGGTGCAAAACACGATGAGGGTTCTTGATCTACCTCAAGAGCTGTTCGAATTAATCCTGTGTCAATCGATTCTTGCCCGAGGAGTGAAACGAGGTCTGCGTTTGAGGCTAGTAAATAGTGCGAAGTACTATGTCACGAAAGGAAGGCTTCTACTGACACAGACTAGAATACTTCGGCCGAGAGGTTATACGTGCACTCCATAGGTTCCGGCTCCTCGACGACATGGCTTTTCGTCCAGTTCATTCCTGGGAGGAACTGTACTTCTACAATGCCTATCTAAAGGACCGAATCATGAATGAGCCTGTCAAGGGCAACCGGTTCTTGAACGATGTGCGGAACATCGCTTTCCAAATGGCATCCCTCAGCGAGGTTCGCGAGGCCGAAGAAGATATCGTTTATCATATTGTCCGTACTCTGTGCGAAACAAGGAGGCCACCGGAAACCAGAAAGTACTGGAAGGACGAATTCCGCCGCACTTCTAAATGGGAGCCGGACGAACTAGAGAGGCAACTCTTTGGTGCCGCATTATGCACCAACACGATCTCGTTCATCCGGAGTTCTGATACGCTACGGAACAACATGTTGTCAAATCCTACAAGTCCTCGTAACAGTTGCGTGTTTGGGGAACATATCGAGTTAGCTGCAAAGTATGGCAGTGAGGAGCTCCTGGAGTACCTTTTGACGGACGGAGCGTCTATCGCCAGCCCAGATCTGAAATCCGAACTTTTCAAGTTTGCGGCGAAAGCTGGTCGTATAGAAATCGTCCGATTTCTGTGCAACTTTCGGAGTGAAGAGTGGCCTTGGCCTTTCGAGGGCGATATAAAGGCGATGAGGCGATATCTACGCGATATCCTCATGGGTATCTGGAATCCTCAGGTATGGGACTTCATCGATAACTTGCTCGTTTCTCATGGCTCACATTCGGCCTTGAGTGACATGCTTGAGCACAAGCTCAGTACTTGTGCAAGAGTGAATTACCTAAGCATGGCGGTACATCTAGTAAGGCTCGGCCCAGATACTGAGGAACCTCCCAGTTGGTTTTCGGGGGGCGTTTACACATCTGCAATTGGATATGCTGCTATGCGCGGCTGTTTGCCTCTTGTCGAGCTCTTGTTAGAAAAAGGTGCGAATTCCGAACACACCCTCGCCACTGCGGTGGTCTACGGCCGCGCAAAGCTTCTTAATGTGTTACTGGACCGTGGAATCAAGACAAGCGATGCAATGGTCGGATCACGTCAATCACCGGAACCTGCTCAGCTCTTGCCAAATTTCAAATTCGGGCCGTATCTGGACGTGGTCCGACTACTACTCGATACAGGCGTTGACGTAAACGAAAGCATCGGTAAAGAAAGCCCTCTCGCTTGGGCAATCGCTGCAGAACATACAGCGCTGTTTAAATTCCTTCTCGAACGCGGAGCCAACCTTCACTCTCCGGGAACAGCAGAGGAGTGCGTGCGACGGGCGAAACAAGATGACCTAGAGTCGATGCTGTCACTGCTGGAACAGCATGGAGTTAACGTCAAAGATTGTTCGGAACAGGCTGCTTGAACATGAAGTGCTATGCGGGTATCAAGGAATGAGGGACGTCAAGATCACGGTGTAGCGCACAATCACATATCCTGCAAGGTTAGAATTCTCACTCATGGATACGATCATTTGAGATACTGAGAAGGTACAGGATGTTCATCAAAGAATGCGAGTACGACGTCATGAAGCAGCCAATTTGAAGATGACTACACTGTAGGTACATTCTCTTGACTGGTCGTATCGAACAGGAGTAAACGACTTTATGTCTTTGGCTGTTAACAGGAACGGTGGGATCAACATGGAAGTCAATCGTTGAGCTTTTGGGAGTGCAGCAGATCAGCTAGGTGTGAAGAACCAATCGATCGAAATGATCACGATAATCGTGGGCGAGGTGAGGCGACTGCATGATGAATTTGAACTAGCGACCGGGGCGTGTGAGACGTCACGTATTGCGTTCTGACCACCTTTTGGAGAACAGAACCACACGGACGCATAGGAACCAGTTGATTCCATTTTGGTAAACTCACAAAAGAATTGGTTGGTATGAAGGATGAATTGGATCGGCGAAAGATCTTTTTATATACAGTACAGAATACACTATTGCTCCTTGCAAGTCTCCCGACATCCTTATCGTATTGAGTGTTAAGCAGGTCATATGGATAAAGCGAGCCGATCTTCTGCTCTTCTATGAGCAAATACAACCACATGCTGGAATGACCTCAGTCTTTTGGTGCGAAGACGTTCTCAGCGAGGAAAAGATCTCGCCCAGCACACGTCAAGCATGCACTCAGTTTTTAGAAGAAAGGAGCGAGAGGGTCATGGTAATCTCTCTAAGTAGTTGGTGATAGAGAGTGATAGATCTTGCTGAGTGGAGAAACGCAGAGAGCAAGGTCTCTCTACTTGTGGCATCCGGCAAAATAGCTGTGATTTACCAACATGTTTGAGCGAAAGCATGTTTGAGAAGGAGGGAGGGAAAAGCGCACATAGTGATACCACATGGTGCTTTCTTCGGAGGTAAGGCCATGCTGCGACAGGACATGGACATATGGCTGTGTCTTTTCGTATTTTTTTTTATTCTCCCGGATCGTGTTTTGTAGCAAAACATTCCAACGAGCGCGAGAAGAGTTCTCAATACGCACCCTTCAGTTCAGCACAGCACACGTGGCTCGCTGCATCGCGCTTTTGAGAAGCAAACTCCATAGGCGACTGATGTCGAGGTTTTGGAGCACATCATCCTTTCTTTAAACAAGAAAAGAGAAGACAAAGCGGCAGCAAAACATCCAACATACGTTTCCCTTCTTTATAGCAGAGCGAGCGAACAGCAGCACACCCATAGCCCAAAAGAACGTTCGTTTTGTTACAGCCACTTCCATGCAATTAATGCATTTTGGTTCTTTGACTTTTCGTATCCTCGACAAACGATTCGCAGGGAGGAGAAAGGCATAGCCGGAGACTGTTGTTTTATGCTCTCGCCCAAACACGCTGTGGTACATTGGGCCTTTCTAGACTCCAGAATTCTCGTATCAAATAAGACCACAGCTGGCAAGCATGGAAAGGGCCTTTTCACCCTTTGAGATGTCAGGGTTGCAGGTTTCCAGTAACCCATTGGACACATGTTATCCTTGTTTCTCGTATGGAGAGAAAACCTTCCAGCCGGCCGACTCATACAAAGTCGGGTAAATGTTTTGGAGAAAGAGGACAGGCCATGAACTGCACACAGTTGACTTTTTGATGAATAAAGACAGAAGGATGTGTTAGGAAGAAAAACAGATGTGTTGGAAGCAGAGATGAGCACTTTATATAGACTGTCGTAGAGCGATCTATGGATCGGGCCACGCAGCTAGACTTGACTAGCAGAGAGACGATGACGTTGGTTACCAGCACAACAAAAAAACATATATGAGCGGCTCGCGATTGACAGAAATTTCAGCAATTGTTCTCCGACTCGGAGTGTACGCCATGCAATGCTATCCCACCTGAAACGCCATTGTCTAAACCCCTGGCTTAGATACGATGTCACAACTCTTCCACCTCTCGCTCGACACTGCTCATCCTCTCACTGGCACTCGTTTTCCCCTTCTCTATGCGGAAACCAACTTCAGTCCTCGCATCATCCGTCAGCCTCCCCCACTCAAGCAAGAGCCTGAACATGTAAACCTCCATATCCTCTTTCCTCAGCACCTTCTCAGTCCACACTTTGCCATCACGTGCAATCTTCTCCGCTGCCTTGATTTGGCCCTCCATCATGCGTTTGTTCCTTGCCTCAACACCGTATCCGCCAAAGTAGGCGAGTGAAGAGAAGAGGTCGTGCAAGCGGAGGTCCACAGGAACGAAGTGTTTCCAAGCGGTGAGACGGCCTTCGTACCATTCACGGAAGAGGGCAGCTTTGAAGACGACTGAGTTGGACTGTAGAAAGGGAATAAATCGACCAGAAAAGCCAGCGCCATCAGTATCGAACAAGTATCGGTAGTGCCAGTGTTGTTTGAAATCGATAGGATCGCCAAAGCCGAACTCGCGTGTCTGGCCGGTGCAGTCTTGCCCTGCGCAACGTGCGATCGGACCGACAAGGCGCACATCAGTCTTGGTCTCGAGAAGTTTTTTGATGTCGCTCGTGCGTTTCAGCATGTATTCCAGATGGCCGCTATGGTCAGGTTTCGGGAGGAGGATAGGTTGGCGGGAAGTTTCGTTGTTCATAAGATGCACAAGTCGCTGGCGAAGCATACCTTTCCAGGTACCGTGCGTAGTCACGCCCTCAGTGGTCGTCCCGCGCCAGAAAAGGATATCTACCTTATCTTGGAAGTGAGGATCAGGAAACTTTTCATCAAATCCATACTTGGTCTTTTCCATATAATTCCACGGCGATGGGTATCTGATATCGGCATAACCTGGAGCGCGGCTCTGACTAAAGATTGGGACCATGTCATGAGTACCCATCAGGCTAGCTGGACTGAGATGCATGCCATGCAGATTGGCGATATCCGGCTGATGACAGGGCTCAGACGAGAGACTCCAATTCGCTATGAAGGCGCCCATCGAGTGACCTTGAGTACAGGTATGGCAAAACGATTTCGTATACCAATGGCGTTCTCTCCGTGCGCGCGATTCGGGTGGGCAGGCGACGGATCCGTATGTCTCAAACGAGGACTTGATGCGAGCGTCGCTGAAGAAATGTGGATCCGATCGCACACGGTCAACATCCGGCCACTTCTCCGCACGATTAGCACTGAAATCCTTCGTAGGACGAGAAGGCTCGGGTGTAGGGTACGGTTGCGGGTTATCCAGTGCATCCTGTAAACGTTCGTACGGTACAGCGACACGACACTCATCATTCAGGTTCAATGCGAGGTCCATATCAGGAAGCGATTGAGCAAATCGCTGTATCATGGTCGCCGCACCATCCATCATCCAACGGTGCGTATCGGGTACATTGTTGAACACCTCCACCTTCCCGTCTCTTATACGAATCCCACCCACCCCCTCACGCGTGGCCAAGACGGTAGCAGTACGTAGTCGAAGGTCGTCGGCGTTGAAAGACGAGAAGGGTGCCAGGTCTTTTTCGATGTTGTCGTAGTCGTCGATTATGATGGAATTTCGGCTGATAGCGAAGTGATACCACTTGTCGAAATTAGGTGGGGGGTCGCGATGATAGCGTTGCCGGTAGTTTACAACAGCCTCAGTGAGAGATCGACTCCGGTAAGCCTGCGATGCCCATCGATCGTGTTGGACTGTCGCAACGTCGATCAGAGTAGTGATGGGATGCTCGAGAACAGGACCGTGCCGGCGATATACAACGACACCGATGGAGAAGGCGATCAGCAATACGATGAAACCGGCCGACTGGTTCCTGCCCAGACGAACCGGCACTTTTGATCGTATGCGGGTTTCGATGTTGGTATCTGTGACGAGATAGAGGATGAGCGCAATAGTGAGTAAAGTCAAACACAAAACAAGTCCAACGGTGGATTTTGGTGGAAATGAGTAGGAAACGCCGGTGCCTAGGGCTCGAAGAACGCCGATATATGCAGAGGAAAATGCGGCCAGGAGCAATGCGCTCATAACGCCGTACAATCGAGCCTGTGTGGTCAGTGAGATGGTGACAAGAGGGGCCATGGCAACATACCGATTTGAGAAAACATAACGTCATAAAGGGTATCATCAACGATAAACGCAAAAGACCAAGGAGATATTCAGACGGAAATGAGAGCATCCACTCGCGATGCTCGGGCATGGCGGGGTATATGATAATGCCTGCGACAAGAAGGACCAAAGAAGATGCCTATTCGGAGTCAGATATGCAGTGGTGTAGAATGGTGATCAACATACAGTAAGTGTCAAGCCAACTAGCAGGTGATTCGAGGTACCATCCTGGAGGTGGATAGTCCAGTCGTCGGCCTCGGAGATGCCATCGTCGATCAGACGGTATGAGATCTGGACAATGACACTATCGAGCAAAAAGGCAAAGAATTGAAGGGAAGGAATTGTAGTTGCTGTCGAGTCTGCGATGGGGCAGATGAAGGTGGAGCGCAATGCGCTGGACTTGATGATGACGAGGAAGCTGCTGACGGAGAGCAGGAACGAAGGAATGATGTAGCGTGTGGAGCCATCGAAGATAAAGCTGTAGACGGAGTCGAGCTGGGTGCGTGGGCGCGTGTCAGCACTCCAGGCGGGGTATTGTCGCTGGCTAGGGTGCCGAATGCTGTGGTAGAGGGCAGCGACGAGAGGGAGAAATGCCTGAGTTGGTCAGTACGGCTCGCGCAATGGCTGGGACATGCATACTAATGCAGAAGGACCACTGCACTCGACGTCTTTGGTAACACGGTAGAAGATGGCTATGCGGCCGCAGATTGCGAACAACAGGACGGCCAGCAGGGCGCCGACAGCCCTCACACTCCAGCCTCGCCGTCTCCCTGGCTGGCCTGCCTCTGTCCATATCTCTTCGGCGACATGTCTGCTCTGGACCTGGTTCAGCGCTATGGCGATATATCTTGTCGGCGGTTGCGGCTGGCTACTGCGCGACGACCAGGCCTCAATTGCGACAATGGCGAGACCAGTCAGCAGTAAGACGACAGCGACAGTGTGCAGCGGCTTGTCGAAGGCGAAGGAGTAGTCGACGGGGGTTGCAGTACTCAAGTAACCGGATGCTAAGACGAGGCCGCTATTGTCTGTCAGCTACTGTCGGTGCTGGTAGCCTAGTTTTGTGCTTACCACGGGAAGAGGAGCGCCTTTCTGTCCATGACGGCCGCATTCTTCGTGGTTGCGATCTAAATCTGCGGGAGGGAACAGTCGGCGCAGCGAGAGACAGTCGACATGACCTGGTGGTGGACAGAACGACGTGAGACTGTGATTGTGTACTGAGGCCCGCGTCACTCCAGGCACGGCTACGGCTGCTCGGCACCTGCAGCTCTCCAGCGGGCTGTGCTAACGAACCCTCACTAACGGGACGGTGGAGAAGTCCGTGCCCGCCCCGAGTCGACGGACTAAAGCCAGCTATACGCCAATACGCGTCGCTACGAAGTTTCCCATATACATTGTCCTCCTGCCGCCTGCTGCTTCTACTTTGCAGTGGGCGGGTGATGATACCCTGCAGTCGCCGATCAGGACCCTTGACCACGATCTCCAGGGACCAGCCAAAATTACATCACGCACACCATACGGCTATCACGGCAGACGCTCAACTGCTACGCCTCGCCGTGAGACGTGCGCGACTTGAGATCGTCCCTTTGACATACCACGAGTAGTATGCAGGCCAACCTCAATGCACTTGCACCACGATATTTGCCACCCTGACACCGAGTACATTACGCACGCCTCCGTCGTCATCACTACTAATGTTAGCTTACCACCAATACAGCCCTGCTTGCGAGCGAATGGTGGGGTACATACACGTCCTCGCAATACGGGAACATGCATGCGCCTCACTTTGTTCTAGCGCCAAGCTGTCACGGCCAAGTCAGTCTATTCCCGGTGCCGTCTCCTGTCAGCACATCCTTCTCGTATTCGTTTGCATCGGATTGGAGTAGTAGACACGAATGTAATGCTTTTCATTTCCGTCTTTCTGATGTGTGATGATCTCAAGACCTCATGGATAGCTATGCCTCCTCGCAGTCTCAATTTCTACTCCCTCGCCATCAGCAGCCTTCACAGCTAATTCGGTCTTGTCCGTCTCATCCGGCTCGACAAGAGAATCATTCTATGTCTTCCTGTCCACGTCCACCGCCTCGGTATGTGCTGGCGACTCGTTCTTACCAAGTACGCCACCATCCGTCTGCTCCATCTGACTCTCCGGATCATTCGCATGCGCATTGCTGATGCCGATCTCAGCCGTCGAGAACTTATCTGCCACATTACGATAGGCCGGCACGAAGTTGACGCAGAAAGAGTAGCTCCATGCTGCGACAAAGAACGCCAGTGGAACAGTCATCGCAATGGCAGTTGGCGAATATCCTTCAAGAGGCCTTGCCTTTCCGAGCGTGTCACTCGCGCCAAATAGCAGCGGAGGTACGACAGCACCACCAGAGACACCAGCCACGATGAAACCTGAGCCACGCTTGGAATACTTGCCTAGTCCGCGCATACCGAGCGCAACGATCGTCGGGAAGATGATACTTTCGAAGAAGAGTACAATGTAGAGCATGCTCATACCAGTATTGCCTCGCTCGGTAATAGCTGGGATAATGAAGATGATGCACATTGTCATGAAGACGAGGAATACCCATCGCGGTTTGACAAACTTCATGAGGGCACTACCCACGAATCTGCCCATGGTGAAACAGCCCTGTGCACCAGCAAGGAAACGGGCTGCTGTCGAGTTGTCTGTTTCGCCGCTGGATGTAACTCGTGTCTCGACGACGTAGTTGATGAACGCTCCGGCTATGGCCACCTGCGCTCCAGTATAGCAAAACTGAGCAAAGGTCGCATGGAATAAGCGGTATTGCTTGCGGAAAGGCTTCACATCAGTACCTGCGTGCGTACTCTCAGCCTGGAAAGCCATGTCGGCATCTGCAGAACATTAGCGGCTTTTCACGTTTGATCCATGGAGCAACCTACCAGTGATCTCAGGAATTTCTGTAAAGTAATACAAGATCGCAAGGGCAAAGACGAAACATGCGATACCGAGATATGTCCATTGCACGTTTTCAAGGGATGCTTGATCGGTTCCTACGTGGTTGAAGAAGACATAGGACCCAAGAACCGGCGCGACCACAGTGCCAATACCGTTGAACGCTTGCGCGATGTTGATTCTGATCTCGGAATATTTAGGCGGTCCACAGACTACCTCTGTCAGTATGTGATGGGACATCTCAGCGACAAGTACGTACCAGCTAGGTAGGGGTTCGCTGCTGTCTCTAGCGAACCTAGTCCATTGCCGATCACGAAGATAGCTACGCAGAAGCCTCCAAACGAACGGTATACTAGGCACGGCCACGCGAGCAGAGAGCCCAAGCCATACAGGCACAGTCCCCAGATAAAGGTGGCTTTGTAACCCCAGTGGCGCAGTAGCCAGTTGGCATGTCCGAGTGAAGCAAGTGGGTATGCGCCGAAGTATGCTGCCTGCAAGCCGGACGAGCGAGCGCGGGTTATACCAAGGACGTCCTGGAAGTGCTTGTTCAAGGTATCAATAAGACCGTACGAGAAACCCTGGGTGGTGATCAGTCAATTGCTTCCATCTAGGAGCGCGATGTCATGGCTCACCCAAAGGAAGAAAAGAATGGTGACGAGGCAGAGGGGATAAATGGACTCGCGCAAAGTGAGTTCAGCAGCGCGCGTCCTCTGATCGTCGCGACTGCGCAGTGTAGGCCTCCGGAGGAAACCCATGTTGTGCTCGTGATGCGATAGGAATATCGCCTAGCGATAGGTAAGTTGGCAATGTTGATCACGTCGTGAATTGGATGGAAGAAGCGAGCATGAATGTTGGGTTGAACAGAGTAGTGAAGTTGGGGCAGTCGCGACGTGGAGAAGCTGCAGGGTCTCGAGGCCTTTCAAGTACCTCTCACCCACGTGAGGTAGCGGCAAGGTTATCGGCTGTCAGGCCATGTGCATGGCAACCAGGTTTCGACACAAGAGGCTCGATCTCAGAGGTTGATTTATTGAACCCGTCGTTGCAGCCAAGGCGAAGCTTGACCTCATCAAGTGAGTGGGGAGGGGAGAAGCTGGGGTAAAACCTGGGGATTTTAACGCTGAGAAGACTAGCGTGATGCGACGTTGGGAGAATGTTCTGACAGATGATGCATCCTCGGCAGAGTTAGACCGACGACGTGCATCGAGAGAGGTTGCATCGGGTAGTGATCAGCCATGTCGCGTCATGTTTAAGCCGCGTTGAAAAGCCGCAGGCTGAAATACACATGCGTCTGCTGTGACTGTGGAAAGTAAGTCGAGTTCAGATCGCCATTACCATGCTCGTAGGGACGGCAGGAGCATTTAGCGCCACGTAAATACCGCTTGGACGCTTGGGCGAACCTCAGTGCAAGCACGAACGTTGCGACGCCATCATATGAGGAAGATCATCTTAATATTCTAGAAATGCCATGGAATATTTACCCCTCTAGCCCTTGTTCTTGAAATCCAATCCGCTCTCCTTCCTTACAACTCCATATACACTTGGGATATCTCCTTTATCGCCGATCTCACTCTTCACACCGTCCAACCTTCCCTGCGCTAGTTTCAGCATCTTCATGCTCTCCTTCGCGCCACTGCTTTCCGCTAGTGACATGGCATGTCTTGCATCCTTTCTCGCTAGATCAATGTGGAAGAGGGGTTCCTCGCGCTGGTAGTAGTCACCTGCCAACATGCGCTGCGAGTACGCTGTGTAAGGGCCGGGAAACATTGTGGAGATGAATGTGTGGAGGTTGTCTACTCCGAGTCCAGATTTTTCAGCTAGAACGTGGCCCTCGGACAGCTGAGAGACCATGTTAAGGATGAAAGTGTTGCCGATGACCTTCATGAGTGTAGCATTTCCTGCTGGTTGCCCTGAGAAGTCGATATTTGCGCGGCCCATCACACCTGTCGTATACGGGACTGCTTTTTTGCAAGAGGCCTTTGAGCCTGCCGACACACAAACCAGTTGGCCATTATCTGCCATGGCTGGGGCGCCGAACACTGGAACGATGTTAGACTCGGCTGCTTGAGTGCAGTAACATGCAAAACCCACCAGGCATGCCTACGAATTCACCACCTTTTTCTGTTATCTTCTTCTCTAGTCCATTCGTTGTATCAGGGTGCACGGTAGAGCAATCTACAACGAGTTTGCCATTAACACCGGCTTCGAGCATCGCATCAACAGCAGAGTTGACAGCTGCATCATCACCCAGACACATGAAGATGATGTCGGAAGACTTGACTGCATCGCTGATGGTGTCAACAACTTTTGTCTTGGAACCACCAAGTTTAGAGGCGAGATCTTCAGAGCGGGATTTTGTGCGGTTGTAAAGGATCAGGGGTTTGTCAAGGTTGCCCTTCTCAACCAAGTTCTGCGACATTCATTTAGCATGAAACTTGCACGATAGGTTCCGATGCTTCATACTTTGCACATGCCCTTTTCAAGTTAGTGACATGTCGAGTGACAATGGTATATACTTACCCTGCCCATGTTGCCGAGGCCAATCCAAGCGAGTTGTGGCGCCATAATTCCTTCTGGGATCTGAACTGGACGTGTATTTGCGGGTCATGAAGACACAATGCCAAGTGCAACAACTTATACCATTCAGTGCCTCTATCTTGCCTACCGTGAGTAAGCGCTTCGTCATGGTGTTCATCGTCGTCATCCGTCAGTAGACCCGGGGATAAGGGCACAACCGGGCCGATGTCGGTTACCAGCAAATGACGTTCCCACGCTGTTATCGATGTTTGGGCCCTCGAAAATGCGGATGCGGGCGCACTTCCCCACACAATTGCAGAGTCATACGTCTGCTCCGAGCTCCCAATTGCGAAAATTCGGTCTGTGATGTGTTCAGCGGCTGGACGGTAGCATGAAGCATGTTCATCTGGAGCAAAGCCCCCGCGAGGGGCTTGGGGAAGGCTACAAACAAGGTGCGTGCGACACAGCGATTCATAATCGTAACCATACTGACAACAAGCAGCTTCCCAAGCGCGATGACAGTGGTAAAGTCTTCGAAAAGATCCAACATGCGCGTCTCTCCACGTCCACCACTTACGTGCGGAAATCGTCAAGCTCAGCGAAAGAGCGACAGCGCGCCGAACGCCAGCAGTTGACGCGCCTGCTGAAGGAGTCGCCCGGCAAACGCGATGCGCGCAACTTTCTGAAGCAATTCGATGCGCCCAAGAAGGGCAAAGCGGCCATCGCAGTAAAGGCCAAGGAGCTGGTCAGCGAGAAGATACACAACGAGTCGGGTTCACTGCGAACAGGCGTCAATTTGGGCGACTTGTACAAGCCGACCGTCTTTACGCGCGAGCCGCTCCCGGAACAGGAGTATCAAGCGGAACAGAAGGACGAGCCAACACATCTGGCACTTGTCAAACTTCGCCAGCCACAGACGCTTGACGACCGCACGTTGGGAGATATCGCGTTGACATTGAGTCAGATGGCACAGCTAGGGCTCAGTACCGCTGTAGTACTGGACTGCGACCAGGACACCGGCGCCTACAACACAGAGTTCACGCTGGAATATGGAAACATGGTCAGAGAGCAAGCTTTGCGTTTAGTAGCAGCGCTGGAAGAATACAACGAGCCAGGAGGTCTGTTGGTAGAGGACGCTCTGGGCTGCACTCCATCAGCCAACGACATGCCCAGTACAGTCCAGGTGCGGGGAGGAGTAGAAGTTCAGCACAGCTACCTACTCTTCCCACCAATCGACGACGGTGTCATACCAGTCATCACGCCCTTCGCCTACGACACAAATCTGAAAAAGGTTAGGGTTCAAGCAGACGACGTGCTTCTTGCGCTTGTCCGAGAGTTTGCTGGCCTCGCCGGTCAGACAGGCAGTAATGGCTCAGTCGGCGGTGTACGGCATAAAACACAAGACCTTGTAGAAATGCCTATCTTGGACCGCATCATCATCCTCGATCCGCTTGGTGGCATACCATCTGAAAAACGAGCAGATGGCGCCCATGTTTTCGTCAACCTGGAAGCCGAGTATCGCGATATCAAGAAGGAGCTCCTGCAGCTATCGTCAGCAATCCCGGATGACAAGACCCAAAATCCAGTATCGCTTGGTACTGGAAATCCATTCTCAAAGTTTGTCGAGGAAGAAGTGGCATCAACACCAGGCGCAGAGCCACAGCAGATTAGCAACTCGGCTCCGATGCGCCATCTGAAGAATCTCGACGTGCTCGAGCGCGGCCTAAAACTGCTACCTCCATCCTCCTCTGGCCTCGTTCTCACGCCGCTAGAAGCTGCAAGGAAGGCTATACCCGATGATGCGCGCACCTCGCCTGCGAAGAATCCTCTGCTGCACAACGTGTTGACCGACAAGCCGATGACATCCTCATCGCTCCCGACATCACCAACTTCTCGTTTCTTGGGATCGACTACACCAAACCCTGCCACATTCTTCAAAAAAGGCATACCCCTTACCATGATTCCAGACCCGCGAATTCACGGACCATGGCAGCCACCTTCTGCAGCAAACCCAAGCATAGAGCTAGCAGACGACCCGCGCATCAACTTTCCCAAACTTGTCGATCTTATCGACGACTCATTCCGACGAAAACTCCATCCCAAGAACTACCTTGATCGTATCCGCGGCCGTGTTGCCGGCATCATTATAGCGGGTGACTATGAAGGCGGCGCAATCTGCACATGGGAGACGCCCAAATCTCTCCATGGACTCGACTTTCCTGTCAACCCATCCCGAGATTCACCCTACTATGTCCCTTATCTCGATAAATTCGCCGTCCTCACGTCTTCGCAAGGCTCTGGTGGCGTTTCAGACATCGTCTGGGCCGCTCTGACGCGGACATGCTTTCCTGATGGTGTAGTCTGGAGGAGTCGGACCAGCAATCCTGTGAACAAGTGGTACCAGGAGAGGAGCAAGGGTATGTGGAACTTGCCAGGTGATCAGTGGACCATGTTCTGGACTACGCAGGGTGTCGAAAATGGGTGGGACGCTGAGGAGTGGGGTGGGGTGGACAGGCAAAAGGAGTTGAGGAGGTGGGATGCCTATGTGGATGTTTGTAGCGGCATCGAACCGAGCTGGGCAGACGGTATACAGAGAGCAGATTAGGCACAGTACTTGGTGTGCCGTGTGAATATATATATATTTCCATGACGCTAAAATCAGTCGTTTTGAGCTGCCAAAAGCCCTGACATATGAGCCCAGCCTTTCCCAAAAAAATCGAATCCTCATGATGGCGCTGAGCATGTGTGTGCATGTTTGTGTGCAGTACAATGGTGTGCAGTACATATCAGCTAGTCCTTGGCTATCAGCTTTCATCATCCGGAACCGGAGGCTCTGAGAGGTACATGTGTATGTATATACCCCAAGACCTTTCTCTTCTTATCCTCGCGAGTTCAGCTGCGCGAGAAGGGCAATACTTCAAATCGACATGCTAAACAAGCTATGAAATCTGTGTTTTTCCACTTCCCAAAAAACGCTTCCAAGTCAGCAGGATGAGGAAACTTCTAAACAGTTCTTGAAACAGATAACTAAATGGTCTCTGGCGAAGCCGGGTTTGTTCAACAACCCTGTGACTGCTTTATTAAGGAGCTGAAACTCGAGTCTGTCTCGTACCATGCTTCCATTCTTGGAAGATCCTTCCTGACAAGTTCACAAATTACATCCAAAAGTCACGTCGACATAATACCATGGCTTCGGATGCTTCGCTGCCTTCATAAAGCAGATGGCCAGATGTTTGTCGGGTAGACAGTGATGAAAGTGTTCAAGTAAAGCTTGAGCGAGTCAGAGGGAATGTATCCATCATCGAACCCTGTCTTTTCTTTCTTTACAAGAAAAGGCTGTACACATTGGAATCCACAACCATGTGAACTATGGCTTGCGTGTCTTCGCTGTCAGAAACGTTGCGAAGAACTTTACATGATAGTAAGAACGACTGGTGAGCTGACATCAAATTCGAATGCGGATGTTGTCAGCATGCTACATCTTACGAATCAATCTGAGGAATTTGAGGAATTTCTAATCCACAACCAAAAACAGCGGCGGCTGTAGCCATGGCCGTGAGTACTGTTCTGCTTCTTCAGATCATACTCAAGGACATCGTATTCCTGACTTGTTGTAAGCAGCATTTTTACTTCAGATCTTAATGATGTCTCAAAAGTACTCCATGCAGAACGCAGTTATAAAGGCTCCACAGTCATGCTGTGTGCTTTATGCTATTGTGGACTGAGATATCATTTTACGATGAGCACATTCGTAGAAGTACCATCTCTTCGCGGGGTATCTCTTTCGCTTGTAAGCTGACGTCCAAATTGAATTGAACCTCGCCGATGACAGCTTGGCCTGCCGCGGTATGTCCAAAGGAAACATGAATACTCATGGGCAGAGTCCTGGTATTGTCGGAGTCATCTCCTATCCTCGCAACAGCGTCAGCAGCGCAAAAGCTACAAACTCCGCCGGCGCGTGGCAGGGAACTCACCGACTTTATCGCAGCAGACGCAAGACGCATCCAGGGCACACCGATGCAATCGCTTCACATATCAGAGTCCACTTCGAAAATACAGACCCCTGTCATGATGTAATCGAGATCGCCCAGAACGGGGGTGCGCCTGGAGCCCTGAAGGGACGCGACGCGACGGCCGTGGGGAACCGAACTACAGCCGCCAGGAACACCGCCATCACACCATAATGCAGGGTGGAGTGGCCCAACGCGGGCCTTGGGGGTCTCGGAACGGAAACGTATGGTTGCTAGTACGCGAAATAAGTTTCGGTGTTTGTTGATGGGATATGTTAATTGGAGGTGGTCGTCGCTAAAAGTTCTTGAACGTGTTCATTCCTCCTTCCATATACTCCAAAGTCAATACCTAATTCTACACATACGCCGAATCAAACGATCAACATGTCAGACAACATCTACGTAAAGAGTGTTGCAGGAACCTGCATCACCTTCTCTTTCATCCTCGCTGGTAAGTCCAGAGTTCAACATTACCCAAATTCAATGCTCATAGACCTAGGAAATGCCATCACACAGTCCTACATGACCGTCCCCGCGCTCCTCGTCAACTTCCCACGCGCAGGCACACCCGAACACAAAGACCGCGCACGTCTTCTGGGCCGTCAGTGGCCTCTCTGCTGGACAGTCGGCAACCAGTTTTTCCGTCCCATTTCAACTCTGGGATTCCTGGGTTACGCCTACGCTGGCTACTCAGTCTACCGTGAGGGCATGCTCGCCCGCAGTGACTGGAAGCTTTTTGGTGTTGCGGCCGTCATGCACTTGACGACCATCCTGCACTCGGCTATCAACATGCAGCCGTTGAACGACAAGTTGGAGGCGTTGGCGGAGAGGAGCAACGAGAAGGAGTTGGGTGAGGCGGAGAGCATTGCGACAAAGTGGGCCAGCTGGAACAGGCTGAGGTTGGTTACCCCAACCATTGCTGGTGGCCTGGCACTGTGGAACTTGCTCTCTTTGTAGAGAACTTAGGTAGTTCCGACCTTTTGATTGCAATTAGGAGTTCGGCCATTGTGCTGCCTACCACATCGTTTTTGTATGTGTAGGTGTTTGGAGTCTAGCATAGGATCAATGAAGCGTACGAATGATTGAGCACTTCAAGTTCCCCATAAAATCTGTGATTCTTATGCAACTGAGGACACCTGTTATAACGCCAACACATAGACTGACGTTATGTCAGACATACAGATGCATGTAGATCTGGGACGAATTTTGATGCTTACTGTGTTTGATTCGCTACCAGCGGAATCTCAGAGTACGATGGTGACGCAGCTGAGAACTAAGAACATGTGCGTCAGGAACGATAAGTTCAGTAATATTGGACAAGCATTGTTTGAGGATCATGAATTCATCGAAAACTACACAAGACACCGGGACAAGGGTCAGGATCCCAAAAAGCTCAAAAATCCGACGCTAGAGGCTTATCCCCGCCAGCATATGGAGGCATCATCATCTATCGCTTGATAGCCTGCCCCTTCCACCCACTCCTCTCTGCCAGCCAAGTCTCGAAATCACACAGCTTAGGCTCCTCCTTCTTCAGCTTGTTGATATCACAGCCATAGCCCTCAGATGCAAACCAACTGATCATGACGTTCACTTCGGTGACGGCCCACATAAGCGCGGAGCCAAACATGCCGTAGGTGGCCGGCACTGGACTGCCAATAACACGCTCGAAGCATCCACTCATCTCGTCCATGGTGAGCTCACTACCGGCGAGAGCCTCGGCGCGTCCGTTCCATTCTTGGTTGTTGACGAAGGCTTTTGCACCGAAAAGGCCAATGTCTTCAACAGACACCCACTGGTTGGACTTGCCCTGCAATGTATCGCGAAGTGCGGCAAGGAAGACTTTGCTTGGGAAACCAGGTACTAAGTTGTCCATGAAGGCAACAGGTCGGAGAATGGTCCAGCCCATGTTCTCGCCATTCTTGCCAGCCTTCTCGAGAAGATGCTTCTCGATCTCGTACTTGCTCTGGAAATGTGGGATGGGTGTTGGGTTCTCGAAACTTCGCTCGTTGCCGCCGCGGTCGACGCTGGAGTAAACGAAGTGCGTGACGCCTTCTTTAATCGACTCATCGATTAGAGCGTTACCCTGCACAACCTCGCTTTCGTGGGTGACATTCTTGCCTAGAGAAACTTGTACAGAGTATACACCCCAGATCTTCTCTTCTTTACCGGCTTCTTTGAGTGCAGCCTTAGCTGATGCGAAGAGCGCTGGGCAATCGTCCAAGTTGCCTTGCACCAACTTGACGTCGGGGTGACGCTCGACGATCTTCTTTGCAGAGCCGGAGTTGGCGTCACGGGTGACAGCCAAGAGTGTATATTCAGCGTGCGATGGGTGCTTTGCGAGTTGTTCGAGCACGGCTCCGCCTTGTTTGCCAGTAGCGCCAGTTACAAGGATAGCTTTCGTGGCGGCCATGGCGGGGTTGCTTGTTAGGGTAGAAGAGTCGCTTGGCTTCGGAGGGGCTTATGATACCGCTGTAGGTCGAGCTTGTTTTCAGCCTCAGATTTAATGATAAGCAGGAAGAACGATCACGACAGAAGAACAGAGGAAGCCTCAATAATATGCATAGCTTCACGTCGACGCGTCGCGCAAAGGATGGGCTGCCGGCCCCGCAACACCTTAGTACGACCGTTGCTTCTGTTCAGAACGCAGCTCCACTCTTCTGAATGCTGATCTCACGACGGAGCTGCAGAGAATGGGGCCCGTACAGCGAATGGTAGTCTTGTCATGATGTTCCACAACGCCACGGGTCGGTGAGGGACCACACCGACATTGCGGTGATTATGCAGGAGCATTACGGAGACCGAGCTCAACACGACTGGACGCAAGCCATGGAGGGGTTCAAAGTTTGATCACCGGTGTCGTGACTGGAAGCCGCAATAATAGACGGGTCCGTAGATCATAGTCGGATTATTTACGGCTTGGATGATCATCCGGGTAGATGCTGTAGTGCGCCGTCAGAATGATCTTACTCGCTACCAGATTCTAGCAGGAAACGATGAACTAGCGACGCCAGTGGAGGCAAAGTTGGAAAAGTTGGAAGCCGAAACTGCAGACACTTCGGATACGAGCATATCGTAGATATTCCATTTTCAACGCAAAGTCTCTGTCACATCATAATGTCAGATCTAGGCTTCACCTCCTCCGAGATACGCTTTGCTACCGCAACTCTTGCAGCAATCGCAGCTCTCGCTCCCATCGCATACTATCTTTACCCATCGCAATCGCAAGACTCGACCAAACACCTCCAGACGTTCAATCATTTCATAAACAGCTATTCGACTCTTCGTCCCCAGGCGCTGACGACAAACGCAACGCGAGACTTTACGCATACCTCTCTTCCAGCAGAATTGAACCTACCCACACGCTCGATCCAACCTTTCCGCGAACATGCACAAGTTGTATTCGATATATTCAAGGACTTCCAGGTAGTCCCGCAAGACGACGGACATGGAGGCAAAGCAGTGCACTTCTCGAGAGATACGAACACAGTGGTAGCGCACTGTAAGATGGGAGGCAAAGTAGATAAAGACCATGAACTGGGCGCACAGCTAGCTGAGAGCCACATTACAGAGTGGTGGACTGAAGGCGTACTATTTGTAAAGCTCAGTAAAGACGGACAGAGAGTTGAGAGCGTGAGGGAGTTCATGCACAGTAAGAAGGCGGAGGAGCTGCATATTCGTCTGCACGGAGCTGTGGAATTCTGAGCCAGTGGCCTCAGTAGAACGTCCATGGTGTTGGACTTGACATATACACATGACCGACGTCGCTGACGGTCGTCGAATGCATACAGCGACGATCATTGGAGTATCAAAGTCACGTGGACACGCATTCACATAGCGCGTTAGCGTCCTGAATAGGGATGTGTTGAAATACACTCTGCACCGAACCTACCACTATTAAATAAAAGAGTCGTGGAACAATTAGACAGTCGAATTGGTATCACAGCAAGCAGAGATTCACATGTTACTCTTTCGCGTCGTCCTAGGTCTATCCCCTCCCTTGCAATCTCACCACATCCATCTATCAGCCACGTTCCAACGAGCGCTCCATTACCCCTCTAAGCCACTCCAAATCCTCGCGTTTCCCTCTCTATCCGCGGTGCGACGCTCAACAAGTGCCCCCTGCAGTGAACACTAGCGCGACTAGGCAGCGTCATAGACTTCTCTACGCGTCTTATTTCCCCGCTCTAGACCAAATAACGAAACACCGCTTGCACATCACGTACATGCTTCAGAGTTCCAATGTCCGGCGGAGAGCCGTGATAATGTACCATTAATCACGGAAGAAGGAATTAGAGAGGTATTGGGGGGCTGTAGTGGTGGAACTGGGGATGTGCGTTTTGTTGCAGGGTGGGTACTTGCAACCTGGTACGAAGGTGAGATTCATTATCTGCATTAGGATGTTGGTCTGAAGGCAGTTCTAGGAAGGTTCCAGGGTAGTCTGTGCAGAAGTTCCTGTTGTCTATGGGGTAAGGGGCGATGCGTTGAAGGGGCCAAATCTGCTGCTGCCCTGCTTCTTCGCGATCGTCAAGTTCTGCGGCCATCTGTAGGGCGGCGGTTGTAAAAGCCGACATGAAGGGGCTCCGTCTGGGCGCGAGAAAAAGAGTTTGGTCCTTGGGTGCCCGTTCCGAGACCGAGTTCCAAGGTTGCGCCGCTTGCTTTAGCTAGAACTTTGAGGCAGGAACGGGAAACTTCCTTTCCGGCGCATCTCGGTTGTGAAACGTGTGCTTGCCGCGGACCTGCAGATGCTGTGTACCATGGCGCTTACACAGTTCTCGTGTCGAATCTCAGTAGGCACATCGATAAGTGCGTGTCTCGCGACAGGTATATGTGTGACATGCTGTGGTGTTCCTTGAAAGGACAAGCAAAAGCGAGTCAGTCAGTAAGCGGCAAGATCGGAGCGGCCGCTGTCATTGATGGAAGAGGAGCGCCAAAAGAACGGGCACTCCCGTTGTGGAATGACTTGCCCCGAAAAGGCAAGACCTACTAAATCACCACGCTAAGGCCTTGTTCACCAGAAGTTGAAGAGCAGATTCTTTTGAAGAAGGTCATGGTTTTTGATTGAAGTGGTCAAAATCATATTTCGCTATGGAGTGCTCATAAGACACATTTGTAACGCCACGCACGCAGTTTGCCCTGCGGCTATGCTTCCGGATGCCCATGCTTACTCCCAATCACCAGCGCCAAGATCGATAGCCTTACCCGCCCTCATGTCCTCCATGATCTTTTCGATACTCCAAGGCTCGTACTTGTAGCCCTTGGGGTAGTTGGGCTCGAACTTATCCTCATCCTTCATGTCAATACCCTCCTTCAGTGACTGTGCACTCTTCTCGTAGTTCTCGTACACGTAGGCCTCAGGGTCGTGAGACCAAACCCACTTGGGAAGCTTGGGCGCAGCACGGCGGGGGTCGAGCTTGACCTTGTCCCAGTCGGTGTCTTGGAGGAGTTCAGCGTTGGAGAAACCAAGCTTCTGTGCGCAAGAGTTACGGATGAAGCTGTGCTGTTGCATTAGCATGTGCGTGTAGATCTGGGGTGGTGGCTTACCGGAAGCGAATGTGTACGCGAACAGACTGAGGGATGTTTTCCTTGCCACCAACCTGGAGACAAGAAGCTATCGAGATAGCATCCTCGATGGCTTGGGTCGCACCGTTTCCGGAGGCTGGCAGGTAGGAGTGGGCAGCGTCACCAATCTGAACGACGCGGGCAGCGGGCGAGGTCCAGCTAGGCTGGGGGTTACGCCAGAGCAACTCGAAGTTGACAATGGTCTTCTCTGGAGTGGTCTCGACAAGCTTCTTGAAAATGGGCGCCCACTTGATCTTCTCCATACCAGGCATTTTGTCCATGCCGTCAAGAACCTCTTCCTTCTCGATGGTGTTGTTCCAAGACTCCTTCTCAGTACCAGTAACGTCGTGGTTCATGATCCAAACCATGACGTCCTCGCGAGACAATGTAAGCGCATATGTGGAGGGACTGTGGGCGTTAGCAAAGCCACGGCTTGTGCAGTCACAAAGACTTACCCCAACCATGTCCTGACGATTGGTTCGTTTCCTGGCATCATCTTGAAGAACTCCTTAACCTCTGGGTCCTTGTCGAGAGCCTCTCTGGGGAAAGCAGCACGCCACATTGCCCTTCCGGACGGCCTCGCGCGCACTTGTCCGCCAACAAGCTTCTGACTCTTCGATCCAACGCCGTCGGCCGCGACGACGACGTCCGCCTCGTAGCGCTTGCCATCGTCCGTGGTGCAACCTCCCTTGCCAGTCTGCTCGTCTTCAAAGTAGTCTACAACCCTACGGTTGAATTCTACGGAGACACCCAGGTTTTCTACGGCGCTTACAAACATCTTGTAGACAAGCGGGCGCATTTGGAACTCGCCAGGAGGGGTATCGGGATCCAGCCCTTGTGCGCGGAGGCGGTCCGCCACCTTCTTGGGTCCAATGACAACCTCACCGGAGTGTTTGAAGGTCTCGATCCAGGCATTGTGGAGAGAAATCTTCTTGTACTCCTTGAGCAGTTCAGGCCAATGCTTTAGGAAGCGGGTTGCGCTGAGACCCATGAAGTACATGTCACCTAAGTCACATCATGAGCAATGCGTCAAGACTACAGTTTGAGGATGCTGCTCACCAGCTGTGTTGATGTCTGCGTTCCTCTCCAGCACACGAACATTATGTCCTTTGCGTGTGCACTCAAGGGCAGCAACCAGACCAGCCAAACCAGTACCCACGATAAGTACGTCGATACCGGTGTTAGGGTATGAGCCTATTGGCTTCGACTCCATCGTGGAGTCACGGGAAGTAAGAGCGTGAGGCATGATTGCGGTTTGGTGTGTAGGATGGTTGAGGGGTTGGTGTATCGTCGAAACCAACTCCAGACCAAATTATGCCTGCCTTTCATACATCTTGAGGGTTGCCTTCACCTGCATTCTCCGTTGGGGTACCAGGGAGGGTTGCCGAAGACCCCTCGGATGTCCGAGTGGCCGGCATTTCTAGTTGTTGTACTTTCACCCTCGTACGACGGTATGCAGGTATTGGACGGAGCAATGATCATTACAGTTGGCGCAAGATTGTCAGGAACACGGCTTGTTTGGTCTTGGACCGATCTCGATGACGACGAATCGTCTCTCGCGCTAGCCAAAACTCCCGATTTATCAATGTCCGTGCACTCGCGCTATGGTTCCCCACAAACTCCGGAGGCCAAGCGTACTCAACGGCACCCTAAGCCATGTCCAAACGAGATCGAGCTCAAGGTTGCTGTGTTGGATATACGCGCAGATGAGATTCCCGCGGCTCTCCCAGCCTATCGCCTGTCTCACGGCTGTATCTCGCTGTTCCACGTGGAGACTTGATGACTGCAGCGATTGAGATCTGATTCATGTGTAACGTCGCTAAACGTACGTCAGCCTTCCTGATGACGCTTAGACTTCATTGCTCTTGAATAGTAAAAATCGGGGCGCAAAGGCTGGCTGAAAATCGCACCTTCCTTTAGGGAAAGTTGCACGTCGAGAAACCTTTTGGTGTTACGACAGCTGAGAGGCTTTGGTTTCAGAAATGCAGCACGGGGCTTGTGCTCATTATCGAGTCGTTGGATCATCCACGTCGATCACTGACGAGGAGTAATTGTGACACCCTTGCCGGTAACTATGCTGCATGTCTTGATAGTGAAGAGGGTCTCACGGCGCGGTGATATGCCGGCTGCCGACTTAGACCTTGGCCTTGGTATGTGTTGTCGATGTGTAGTATGGTACTAGATAGATAACGGTAACTTACCTAGACACGGCGGCGGAATGGCACGCAACCACTAACCGCGTGCTCTGTCAGCTGTATCAGACTTCCAATGCAAGGGGTGGCTGTTTCGATACGCTCGAGTTCATGCAAGTGAACTTAGTCCATGTCGATCTATGTGCTCTCCCGGCGCACCGATACATGTTAGCACAGATCCAAGCTCTTCAATATGTCATAATCGGCGCCCGCTAGCACCGACCTCTACTCTTCCGCTGTAACGGGAACAGATTCTTGCGATCAGCAAGCATGCTAGTGACATTGGCATCCTAGCAAAATATGGAAATCGGTAGTTTCCAACCTTGGCTATTGGATGAATCTGCCGTCTGTCACCCCAAGCAATGCTTAGGCCATATCGGCTATGCTCGTCCAGACGCCGATGAAGTTGCTGCTCTAAACGGTTTCGCCGCGGCAGTGGTCCCTGTATAGCTGTACATAAGTCAAGGTCTGGGGAGCCGGACAGGTGGTAGTTCAACTCCAAGCTGTGGTGTGATATTTACCAGAATCTCCCACGCTGTAATTTTGTGTTATCACGGTTCTTCCACCTGCATCCCCGCTCAAGACTCTTGGCGACAGTCAGTCACCCTATCTGACTTGGAATCTTCCACACATTCCTTCAACTGTCTCCCGCTTTAACAACATGCACCCATTCACAGCTTACGCTCTTGGCGTCGCGGTCGTTGGCCTCGTCGTGTACGCAGTCGTCGATGCTGTCGGCAAGTACGACAAGAGGTACAATGTCCAGAACATGCCTGGCCCATGGCAGCTACCCTGGATTGGGCGCATTCACGATCTTCCCATCGAGTTCATGTGGCTGAAGTTCAAGGAGTGGGCCGACATTCATGGTCCCATCTACCGGACGAAGATGTTGGGCGCGAACTTCATCATCATCAGTGATGAGAAGATCGCAGAGGACATGCTTGTAAAGAAGGCGAAGTTGTATTCCGATCGACCCGAGATCAAGTCGCTGTTTGATGCGAAGAGCACATACGGCTCAATGGAGTACCTGCCTCTCATGGGAAAGAACCGTAAGTTCGCCGGCGATCCTTGAACGACCTTCGCTGACCAAAGTAGAATACTGGGCTCGTCAACGAAAGTTTACTCACTCTTACCTTACCGGTGCGACCAATGTACGCTACAACGGCATCATGGAGTTTGAAGCCAAGCGATGGATGGCCAGGCTCTTGGAAAACCCCGATGATTTCGGCTTTTCGCTCGAAGACATGTGCTCCAAGGTCATGTGCCAGTTGACATGGGACGACCCCTCGCTCAGTATACCTCTTACACCCAGCGCATGGGGACTGCTCACTCAGATGTCTCCCGCCGGCCCGATCACCAACGTCTTGACTCCTCTCTGGGATTGGGTTCCCGAACCGATCAACCCCTGGAAGCTTCGGGAGCGCAAGCGCCACGACGAACAGCAAGCCTTCTTCATGCAGTGCCTCCAAAAGACCAAGAAGAGCATGGAAATGGGTAAGCAAAGGTCTTGCTTCACCAAGAACTACCTGGAAACTGCCGAAAAGTCGAACATCTCTGGGGATTACGAGGCGTCTTGCGTGATCGGAATGATGGCTCTCGTTGGTATCTTCACTGTCACTGGACCCATCTACTACTTCTTGATCAGCATGGTCCATCACCCCGAATGGCAGGTCAAGTGCCAGGATGAGATTGACCGCGTTTGCGGTAACAACCCCCCTGCCGTCGCCGACCTGCCCAACCTTCCCATCCTCCGTGCTTGCATCAAGGAGACAATGCGATGGAAGCCAACCGTACCTACTGGTAAGTGTATACCCGACTAATCGTGACACTGAGACTGACTCTGATCTTAGGTGTCGCACACGAGGCCGAGGCCGACGATTGGTTCCAAGGGTACTTCATCCCCAAGGGCACACGTATCCTTCCTCTCGACTGGGCTTTCCTTCGCAACCCTGTCAAGTACCCCCAGCCCGAAGAATTCCGTCCCGAGCGATGGTTGGAAGCCGGATGGCCCACTTTCCAAGAGCCGTTGACCAAGTACCCTGATATCGTCGGCATGACTTCTTTCGGTTGGGGCCAGCGCCAATGTTTGGGCATGTCCATCACACGTGACGAGACGGTGACAGGCTGCGGAGCGTTGATGTGGGCCTTTAATCTCAGGCGCAAGGTCGACCCAGTCTCAGGCAAGGAAATCGAAGTACCGCTGAACAAGTCCAACTCTTTGCTTATCATCAAGCCGGATCCATGGGAGATGGCTTTCCAGCCTAGGAGCGAGAGCCGTAAGCAGGAAGTGATTCAGCTCTGGAAAGAGGCTGAAGCGAAAGACATCCAGGAGCGTGCCGCATTTGCGAAGGCATCTGAGATGAACATTCTTGTGGAGCCGTAGACAGCTTTTCTTTGTTTGTTTGTTGTGTTGGGTATATCCGAGGGCATAGCTGGAAGGCCTGGCGTTCGTGAGCGTTCTCTTCTTCTGTCTCACCTTATCTTTCTCCTATGTAGTTTTCAGACCATGGCCACGTCGGCTGGCTATAATTCTCAACCTTTTCACCACATTCGATTCTACTATGATATGTTGCTCGTGCGCCGTTGCGACTGCAGGAAATGGTGACGGGAAAGAAGCACATGTGACAATGACGGAGGGACACAGCAGCTGACCCTTATCTTATGTTTCGTGTCGGACGTTACACATGAGGCTGTAGAGCTCGTATTCGCTATGAGGAGCCGACCAGCAGGCGCTATCTCGGTGTACGGTGTTCCGTGCCTCTCAGCTGTCTCCTGTCATCTCGACGCCAGACGGAATTCCGTTGCTGAGGCGGACCATTGCAAGTACCTAAGTATCTGGGTAAGCCCGTCAAGAATTTTCCAAGCTCTACGGCAAGGCGGTCTGTGAAGTGGCGATTCTTACGTCTGCCCTGACATGACGGGTGTCCATGGCGCAATTTCCCCTCCGACTACCCCTCCAAAAGTGGCCCGAGCGCGGCCCTTTCCCAGCTCCAGCCTCGACAACTCGACAGTGAGAGGCCCAATCAAGCCGAACGCCCCACACTTGTGCTGCGCCTGTCATTGCTCTACGGAAGGAGCTATGGTGGCTATAAAAGGTGGCTAGGCAATTGCCCCTCTATTGCTCTTCTACTTTTAAAGCTGCCCCTCATCCTTCCCATCAACAACACTCCATCCCCAACACTTCCTCTACACACCAATTTCACATCCATCACAATGTCCAACCCCAGAGTTTACTTCGACATCACCATTGGCGGTGCGCCCGCGGGCCGCATTGTCATGGAGCTTTTCGCCGACCAGACCCCCAAGGTCAGTACCCCGCTATCAGAGTCTTCATCGCTGCTCTTTTCGGCTCGAGACCTTGGAAAGTTGAACCAGCCGCTAACTTTTACCAACAGACCGCCGAGAACTTCCGCGCTCTCTGCACCGGCGAGAAGGGCACTGGCCGCTCCGGCAAGCCCCTCCACTACCAGGGCTCCAGCTTCCACCGTGTCATCCCCCAGTTCATGCTTCAGGGTGGTGACTTCACCCGCGGCAACGTACGGCAACACCACGATACTTCTCTGACGAGCACAAAAGGCTGACATAATCTAGGGCACCGGTGGTGAGAGCATCTACGGCGAGAAGTTCGAGGACGAGAACTTCAACCTGAGGCACACTGGCCCTGGTATCCTCTCCATGGCTAACGCCGGACCTGGTACCAACGGCTCCCAGTTCTTCATCTGCACCGTCAAGACCTCCTGGTTGGACGGCAAGCACGTCGTCTTCGGCCAGGTTGTCGAGGGTCTTGACGTCGTCCAGGCCATCGAGAAGGTCGGCTCCGGCAGCGGCTCCACCTCCAAGCAGGTCACCATCGCCAAGTCTGGCCAGTTGTAGGCGACTGAGTCATTTGAACAAGAACGTGCACGCAATATGAGATATTGGAATGAATTTCTGAGCGGCTTACGAAAACGATGAATCACGACATACCACGTGGCTCGATAAGACGAGACCAGTGGGCATCTTCGGTCTGTCATAGTACTACAGCTAGGAAATGGCAATGATCAGTGCGCAATCT